GCCTGCAGTAGATAGACAACAAATCGTATTATTATCGCCGGGCAATGGCCGCAAGGAGAACAGAACTGGGAAACAATAAAAGTAGTCAGCGAAGGGACATATAAAAAAAAGAAGAAGAAGAGGAGAATCATAAAACTAATGTTAAACAACAGACATAGTTTCTGTCCCTTTCTTTATTCATCTCCCTGTCTCTCTGTTAGTCTCCCTCAGTCTCTCACTCTGCCTTGTGTTTGTTTCCCTTTGTTATTGTTGGGCTGTCGCCGCCTGCCGTCATTGTTGTCCTTAAGACAATGATGGCAACGCCATTCCAATGCCCCCCAAGGACATGCAATAAAATTGCGTTTTAATGCTACGTCAACTGTGGCAGGATCTGCTATTTTCTTTTTTGTGATGTCCCTTCTGAGGTTATTGCAGAGAAGCTTAAGTAACTTTTGTTGCTTTCAATATGATAACCGAGTTCTTGGAGCAAAGCATCCGATACCTTATTAATTTTTCGCGAAGTCCTTGCTGAGATTATTACAGAGAAGCTTAAAAAACTTTTGTTGATGTCGATATGATAAACGGGGTTTTTGAAGAAAAAGGATCTAAGGTCATTGCAGACAATATCAATGAACTAGTTGTCGTCAAGGAACTAGTTAACAATGATAACTGGGTTCTGAGGAGATATTCCATTTTAAATTGTTGTGTTGCCTTTTTCGGAGGTTCTTTTGCTGTTGTCAATATGATACCAATCTCTTGGCGAAAAGAATCTGTTAACTTATCCATTTGCGAAGGCCTTGCTGAGATTATTTCAGATAATCTCAAGGACCTAGTTATCATGGATTCTTAGAGCATTTTATATTTCAAAGGATCTGTTATCTCATTAATTTCTTTCGATTTCCTACCTGACATTATTGCGAGGCATTAGTTGTTGCCAATAACTTTCCTTTGAGACTATTGCAGATAATCTCATGGAACTCTAGTTGCTGTCGATGATTGACTATTGTTAATTGGGTTCTTAGGGTTTATTACATTTCTCGAAGAACTCCTGTAGCTTGTGATAATTGACCATAATAATAAGCGGGGATGGGATATTAAATTTTCACTCTCATATAAATACTCTACACATACCCTACAGAGCTGGGTATAGTCTAAAACAGTGTGAGATTAAATAATGTTACTTGTTTTATTTATTTGTTATTCTTTTTTTTTTTGTTGGGCCTGTTCGTTTGTCCTTCCGATTGTTTAATGACATTTCATTTGCATATTTTTATGACAAATGTGAATTTTATGTGTTGCTCGATTTCAGAACACGCCAGCCAAAGGAACAAATCCACCAGCACACCTACACACGCACACACAAACACACACACATACATAAGTCCTAGCCGCAAAGGGGACGCGTGGCAAAGAAAAAAATATGTATATATGTATATAAATTATATTCGAGCCAACGAAACCCCGTGGAGTGAAGCAAGTGCAAATAATTCTCCGAACAACAAAAGGAAAATGTGTAAGGCGCACATGGAAAAGGAAAAGCTGGCAAACAAACATAAAAGTGCAAAACAATTCTCAAGTGTTTCACGCCTTAAGCCTTGTGCCTTTGTGCGCTTTTTACTTTTCCATTGGCATTGAATCAAAAAATATGCGCAAATAAATAGAGGAGCCGTCTCCGAGAGGCAGTCGCTTTGTAGATTTTGGAATCCCTGAAAACGCACCCAAGTAGCCAACAGCTCCCACGCTTCAGTTCTCCATTGTAAGTTGATATATATTGTGAAAATTTATTCAATTAAGTTTTTGAACTCGCTGGGAGCGACATGCAATTCGGATAGTTCAGTCCGAATGCATTTGGGGTGACAAGAGGAATATGATATATGCCATATATGTATATATCTAGCTGCCGGGGCAAATCTCCGCTTAATTTGTGCACTTTAAATGACAAAATCATTCGTCTGTATCCGCACGCATTTCTATACGCGGAGTCTCCATTGGTTGGGGCTGGGAGGCTGTGAGGCTGGGTTGAGGTCTGCTTCTGTGTGGATGTGCAGCAACAAATGGTCATTGTGCGCACAAATGAACTGCTGCATTGTGGCCCGGGAATTTGTGGTCACGGAGTTCTCTGACACGATGAGCTGATGCCAAGCGGAAGTCGATTGCAGTCCAATTCTAGAAGTGAATGACAATGATCAAGCGTGAATAGTTCGCTAAACTGGCTACACCAAGAGGAAATCATCACAACTTAAACTCGAGCGATTTTATTTGAAATTGAACAACAAAAAAGCACTTGTTTGTCCTATAAAACAAGAACAGCTTCTGCTCACATCTATTTTGGCATCTTTTATTGTGATAATATATGATATCATGAAAACAAAACAAGACAAAGCATCTGTCGGAATAGTTGGCATTGAAATGTGAATATGGAAGATATTTTATTAAAAGAATATATTTCAGATGCATTTATTTTGGTCTATTATAAATCGTTGTCAACAAGCAAAGAAAATGCATTTTTCGTTTCGCTTTTAACTACTTTTGTCATTTTCCGAGAGCAGACTGCAAAATAGGGCACTTTAAAAGAAATACATCCAATAAAATGCAAAGAGCACAACCTAATGTGCCTTTTACAGTCAGACGAATATGATTATAGTGACTTATCTATTGATGATGACAGATCAAGAATATATATATATTTTATGACGTCAAGAAAGTCCCCTTATATGCGTTGCTCATTTCATGATAATTATAATATCCTCAAATAATATAAATTAATATACTCTATTAAATAAGAAGAAATAGTCTTTGCTTTTTATTCATATTAAACACATTCGCCTCTCGCTGGCATTGCACACATACCATATTTATTGTAGGGCTTAACTTGGACATTTTCATTTGTTGCGTGTTAGTTTTGTTATATTTTTGATATAAAAATATAAAATTTTTGAATTTTGTGCAGCCTTTTAAAAACATGCTTCCAATGCGAATGAAATCAAATTAATCTTTTTTTATTATTTATTTTATGTGAATTCTAGTTTGTTGAAAAAACTCTGTGCACATATATTTTTCTGCAAAAAATCAAAGGCAAATAAAATCATTTCGCACAAAGCACAAAATTGTTTATAAACCAGGCATTTTGCAATTATATTTGGCTCACATTTGAATGTACAACAATTTTTTAAGAATTTATATGAGTGCTCTATTTGGAAGTGCCCGATACCCTAAAACTTATTCTATCGACAACAAATGCAGCTCGAACTATGCGCTCATAGCTAATAAAATTAAAGATTTTTTATCTGTTTATAATGTTCTAGAGGCTAAAAAAAAAACAGGATTTTAATATCGATTCTTATCGAATGCTTGGAAAAGGGAAAAATTATCGACTATCAGACTTAATAAACTCGTGCTGCGCGGATGACCTTCGTTTAAGCCTCTTAATCTTATAGGTTCTAAGATCGACGCGTTTATACATACGAACGGACGGACAGACGGACAGACAAATATGGCTATGCTGATCGAGAATATATATACTTAATGGGGTCGGAGATGATTCTTTCTGCCTGTAACATACATTTGCACAATCATATGATACCCTTTTTAGCCATTTTCAGGGTATAAATAAAAACAGATCAAAGTATTTTAAAATGTTTGTTTAATTTCTGTGCTCAGATTAAACATGAACAAAATAAATACGCAAAATAAATAACAAGCAAAAACTGAAATCCATTTGTGAAAATTCCACAAAATAGCAGATTTTTGTTTAAATTGTGTTTTTCTCTTTGGGTGTACACAATATAAATTCATATAAATCTCAATCTAAAGTGCAGTTCCGCACATATCGTGAAATCCCACAAAAAAGTAGATGGACCACATAACGAGCATTGAGTTTGGACAGATGTTTGCAACTGTGTGGCATTTTTATAGAATATAAATAGGCCCCATGATTGCAGCGTAGAATCAAATAAAATGGAACTCAGATGGAATGGAACCGAATTCCACACGCAATCGCAATCAGCGAGATCATCATCACGATGATGATATGCTATAATATGATGTGCTCTGGCTAGTTATAGTTTTAGTTATAGCTATAGTTGTTGTTGTTGTTGTTGTTGCTTTAAGTGTGATAAATCGACAGTTGAATTAAGCGAAATTTGTGTGCGAGCGTTTTTGTCCTACTGCACGAAACAAACAACAACAACAAAAAGGTAAAGAACTAGCAACAAAAAATGAAGTAAACAAATTTTAAAAGTTTTTTACAATGATAAAAAGGTAAGCAGCGCAGAAGAAGAAGAAAGAAATGTACTTCATCCGAAATAAAAATGTGTCTTTTCATCAGAATTTCAAATGTTGTTCGCTGTCAAGTTATGTCTGTGTGTGTGTGTGTGTGTATGTGTGTATGTGTGTGTGTGTGTTTTTGGGTACAGGTGTGCGCGAGAGCCGCCCGAGCGGAAGTTATGGAGCCTACGTGCCAAAAAATAAAAAAAATCATGCATATACATAAAAGTGCCTGTGTGTGTGTGTGTCTATACAAAATTTCACTTTCGCTGTTTTGGATGGTTTTTCTTGCCTTTCCGCTTTCTTTTTTTTCCTTTTTTTTGACAGGCAGCACAAGCGGGCAGACATTGAGGCAGCCATCGCGGCAGCCAGTCGATAAACCACCAATACCTGCAGAGTCCTGTGTGTGTGTGTCTGTGAGTGTGTGTGTGTGAGAGTGTGTGTGCCTTACATATACAGCAATGTGTATATAAACAGGCAAATTATGAATTTGTAGGACACTTTCGCCTGGTCCCACAGCCAGGCTTTGATTGTGTGCGTGTGCTGCAAATTGCTAAGGACTTTACGGATCAGGGAACTCATCAAAAATCGTTAAATGCAAAAATCGGCATCATAATAATATGAGTCTTTCAACAACATCCACCTTACCCCTCAACCGGTCCCGACCATCGCTTCCCTCCTTGCCCCACACTTGTTAGGCAGCGGCAACAGCAGCTTTAAGTCGATAACAGCCGTTCATGCAAGGATTTACTTACCTTAAGCTTTCGTGCCTTCAGATCTGAAGGTTTTCTCTCTCGCTCTCTCTCTCTCTGCCGTTCTACATGTCACTTCTGAAGTCTTTTTTTTTAATTCTTGATTTAGTTAAGATTTAAATTTGATGCGTTTTTATTGCTGCGAAAATTTGATAATTCTTTTACTATGACACTGTTATTTTGGCAATAATTTGGTACTACCAAAACTGGGAAATTCACACAAATACACAATCTTATAGTCTTTACGTGTGTATGCTAATGTGTGTGTGTGTGTGTGTGTGTGGAAATACACGTATGCTGAAATTTACTTATGCATTGTTTTAATTATTATTATGATTCTTATTATTATTATTTTATCTTTTTGCGCACTCAAATCTGCCGTCGATTCGCCGCTGGAATGCAGTTGCTCGCAGAGCTTCTGTTCATTTCACGACGATGTCTCTAGCTAAACTAAAGTGAAAAACCATCGCAATGCGTACTTTAAACTGTGCTACAAAACATACGGACTACGACTACGACCTGCGCTCGGCTTTTGGCTCTTGCCTCTGATTTTGCTCTCCGCTCAGCTACTCTCTCACGCGGCTGTTCCCGCTACAGCAGCGAGCCCTGCACAGTGTGTCAAAATTGTTCCATTTTTGCTCAAAATTTGTATTGTTGATATATATGCATGGCGTTTTATATGCGAATTTAAATAAGTTAGAATTGATTCAAAACGACGAGTTTTTTCTTTAAATTTTCTAATATATAAATAATATTATATATTATTATAAAATAAATATAAAATAAATAAATTAAATATATATTTAATTTTGAAGCTTTGAAAAATTATAAAGCCAAAGTAAATAGAATATAAGCAATAAATATATTAAAATCATTGTGTTTGGTTGGTAGATGACTTTGTTTATTAATATTTAATTATTGATTTCATGTTTTTTAATGCATGAACGAAAATGTTTTGCATAGTATGTATATGATTTATTTTATATACTTAGTATGTCTATTATGTATGCAGATTATCCATATTAGATATTCCTCTAACATAGTTACATAAACTAGACTATCATATATTTAAAATAATATTCCACATACATTATCTTTTGCAAGCCTTAAGAAACATAATTGCAATTTACCAATGGAACCACAGTGCACAGTGCCTCTGGCTGACTGGCCATAATCATCGTTTACGCTTATTAGGAGAGTCGGTGCCGTTACTTTGCTCGTAACTGTTATACGGCAAGTCGTTGCGCTGTTTCCGTCTCCATCGCAACGCCTTTCTGTATGGCCAAGAAGCTTTTTTTCGCATGCTTTCTTTATGTTTGTTGTTTGTTTTTGTTGGCAACTTTTGGCAGTCGTTGCCGCTCAGCTCTTTGCCCCTCAAATTTTGCGGCTTTTGCTGCTGTTATTGTTGTTGCTGTTAATGCTGTTTCGCTCGCTCTCGCTCTTTTTCTCTCCCACTCTCTCTCTCTCTCCCTCTCTATATCTATCTCTCTCTCTCTCTCTCTCTCTCTCTCTCTCTCTGTCTACTTTGTGCCTAACAAAATTTCATTATCTCTAGTGGCCGTTTGTTTATTTATTTGTCGAGTATTTTACGTTTGGCGCGGGGAGCGGGGTGCTAAAGAGACAGAGTTGCCCATTCCAATAGAATTCTTTTTGTTGAGCAAATGTTGTCAAAGCTTTATGGCTAACACACACATACATGCACACACTTAAGTTGTCGTATATAAAAGTATAAGCCCGCTGATATTCATGATTCTTCTGCTTTCTGAAATATATTTCTAATTTGTGCACATTTTGCCTGTTTAATTACCACTGTAAGACCCCCAAAAATCGATCGCACGTTGTCCGGTTTTATTACAAACACACGCATGCACAAGTAACAGCACACACACACACACACACACACGCACACACACACTCGCAATATTTGAAACTTTTTCTTTTACAAACACAAACACAAACGTTTGCAGCTGTTTTTTGCCGCTGATTTATGCTGTACAATTTGGAGTTGCTAATCAGCTGTTGATTTTAATTGGTCTAGTTGGACCGCTTATGAAACACATATATTAAATAACAGTTATTGCAGATTATATTTTGCGACATTTCTGGCACTCAATCATTTTTTATTGGCCAGCTCCTTCGAGTATCGAATCTTACACAAATATATTCTTACAAAAATGCCGCACACAACAAGAGAAGTGGACGACGACTCACGACAGAATGACGAACAGTTAAATCGCAGTAGTCGGCGACAGCGGCGCCAGTAACGGTCCAAAACAACAGCTGCAAATCGGCGTCGACATCCGCGGGATACGCGCACAACAACAACAACAACAAAAATCTAAAAAAAATGAAAGCAAAAAAAAACTGTTATGAAAACATTGGGCAGACGCGCCAAGCTTTTACCTTCAGCCGTGTGCAAAAGCTTAGGCTTATTCTATAAATATAACGTATAACAGTTTTGGAGCTTGCAGCTGGTGAGCGCTTTTGTCTCACCTGAAAGCTGAAACCAGAGTTAGAAACGGTTTTTAAGCTATGCCCAATGTTGAATTAAAATGTTAATAGGCTCGAAGCAGTTTGTATACCCCGTATAAAGCAAGATAATGAAGCGATTCTTGCGCTACATACCAAGTATCCCTCGTGATATCGCTTTCTTATCTACGATTAGGTATCAATTTAAACATTTTTGGGTTATATTTGAGCGCAAGATAAAGTTTTGCGGCCAAGATAAAGTTTCAAGTATCAACAAGGCGATATATTTACATTAAAGTAGCACATATTTTAAGCTCTACTTGAACGGATATTTCTCGTTAATAAAGTTAAATTGGATTCGTTTTCAAGGGTCTTTTAAAATCTTGATGTATTGGCTTCCTGACGATTTCGATGGGAAACATTCAAAGTTTCAAGCTGCTTAAATAAAGCTTAGCATGCTTTTAGGCCGCGAAAAGCTTTCACTTACTAAAAGCTGGCAACCCTGTGCGGCACTCGCTTAAAACTTGTTGCGCCAGTTTTGTTTAGTTGTCGCTTTCATCTCGTCCCACTCGAACGTCGCCCCGTCCGCAACCGCTGCAATCTCTCTCTAAGGTGGGTCATTTGTTTTTATTTACGTTCTTGTTGTTGTCGTTGTTGTTGTTGTTTGCATTACTTGGCGTAGGCGCGCGTTAAAGATTTATTTATAAATGCAACACAACGCATAAAGTATCTCGCCGATTTGTATTGTATTTAGTGCAATGTTAAATATTGCAGTAATTATCACATAATTTGAAAATTGTTTAACGTAAACTTGAAATGCAGCCACGCCCCAAACGAATTTGCATAATCTCGACTGCGAGATCCTCAACAAATTCGTGGGCCACAACATGTGCGTAAGTTGCTGGCAAAAACAATATCAGCAGATGCGTCAGGCAGACCATAAACTTAGCCTCGTTTTTCCAAAACTCAAAACATTTCAATTAACACATGATTTGATAACACGAAACTTGGCTACGCTACGATTATACTCAAAAGTTTGCTATTCAAAATATGTACATATTATTTTTCTTATTTCAAATGAAAGTGTTTAATATTCTATTGTGTACATATATGATTCCTTTTATTAAACAAATTTTTCATTTACTTTCCCAAAAATTTTGAATTTCTATCAAGATCTTTTTATGACAACGACAGACTGTGTTTTTATTAAACAAAGATTTATATATATATACATATATTTTTAACGATGCATTTTTTTTTTCTCAAAATATAAGTGTCAGGTATATACTAATTTAAAATGTATACCCTATAAATATATGAATTATCTAAGAACGGAATAATTTAAAAAAAATCTTTCGATTTTCCTAAAATTTCGGTTGATATTTACATACACAATGTTTTATTAAATATAAAGAAGTTCGTGCTAGTGAACGTCTCATGCTTGTTGACATAGTTAGTCTTACCTCGGCTTACATACAAAGATATATCGTCATATCTATTTACGTCAACGTTCACGTAAAACAACACCAAATCGGTCGTTCCAATGTTTGTCACGCATTTTCAAAGCCAAATTCTGTGGCAAAAGTGAAATTTCTGTGGAATGCGGTTGAGTTCAATTTCTTTGCCCATAAATTTGTGTATGGATAAATAGAATATGTATATGTAATGCTTTCTGTAGAACCGAATGAATGAATTGAGGCGCTTGAAGCTTGTTTTGCACACTCTGAATGCCCCGCCTTTATTTCTTATCTTTTTAGCTTAAAACGAATTCAACAAACAACTCTACTGATTGAAAATGGGTAATCCAGTGTGGTTCATTTTCTGGCTGTTGGTCTTCTGGATCATCTCCCTGGCGGTCGCATTCTTTTGTGCCTTCTTCTACATCGTCATCTACACACTTGTTGTGTGCATTCCGGGCCTTTCGGTAAGTGCCGGGTTGGGGGTTGGGCGTCGTATATATATTCCACAATGACATCATATCATTATTTGTGTAGTTGCCGAGTGCGGGCCGCTTATCGCAATTTGTAGATTTTTGTACAATTACTCAGCTAACTAAGCCAACTAGTCTTATGATAAAAAAAATATATAAAAAAAAGATCCCTTATTTATAAATGCCAAAAGTAATCGCGCCTATTCCATTATATTACAGGGCATATCGGATGTGCTGCTGCAGGGCCTACAATTCCCGCATTATTGCGCCAAGGCCATGGTGGACTGCAAGCCCCCATTTTAATAATTTACATTTCTATTTTGATATGACATAATATTAAGTGCAATAATTATAAATGTTCATTTTATCAGACTTGTTTATTTTTTTAAACGATAAATAATAATTATTATTTAATATTTGTAAATGGTCTTTTTTTTTATAATCAATCTTTAAGCGATAGCGTAGAGATAAGAGCCACTCTTGGTTGCAATTGGTACCGAGCCGGCTTTAGAATGGTCATGAATGGAGGAAAATCCTTATTCTATAGAAGTCAATATTAACAATTTTTGCTACACAATCTCGCATTTATGTTAAGGAGTATGATTTGAACTGATTCCATTGACTAAGCCCGCGATGCCCTCATTTTGTGGTCGAGGCAACTGTTGCAATCTGCTGGCTGCTGCCGGGCGCATCCGACGACGCTGCTGACGCAGCTGCTGTCGCTGAGGCAGGATCTGGAGGCGTGGCTGTTGCTTGCGTGGCGGGCGGTGCATCGCGCTCGTTAATCGCACGCAGTTCCAGTTCACCAATTAGCTGCATGACACGTATTTTGCCCTCGGTGGCCAATTTGGGCGGCAGCCCTTTGACCGTGGCACAAATGCTGTCAAAGAAGAGATCCAGAGAGTCGCGCGGTGCGGGCTCTATTGAGGTGAGGTGCTGCAGTTGATAGGACTGCAGTTGCCTGGACGCATACGACTGCAGCTGGGGCTGCCGCAAGGGCGTGTAGCAGCCATTCGCAATGGGCGTTATGGTCGCCTTTGAGGTGATCTCATGCGAGCCAATCGTGGGTGTGGCACCCGTGCTGGGCACCTTTGTCAGCGGTGCCGTCACCTTTTTAATAGTTATGCGACAGGGCAGCGGCGCGGATGTCGCGGGCGAGCAGTGTGTGGATAATTGGGTAGCTGGCATTAGCTGTCCGTGCGGCGTTTCATTGATGGTTACTTGCAGCGGCAAATTCTCAAACATACCGGAGTGCTGAGAGTCTGTTTCCGAGACGCGACGTTTACAAGCCGGTTCATATTCGGAATCTAGATCTGCATCTGCATCGGCACCGGCATCTGCGTCTGCATCGGCATTGGCATCAGCGTCCGCTTCAGGTTCCGCCTCTTCGTCATCTGCCTCAGCCACTGCATCTTCGTCCTCCTCCTCATCTTCGTCGGCTTCGTCATCCTCGTTGTCCGCTTCCGTCTTGCATAAGTCGCTTGCTGTGGCAAACTGTAGCGGCAATAGGCTCATATCGTCATCGTTGTACTCCCACTTGACATCGTCCACCTGGGGTTCCGCTTTGAATATGACCGACTTGCGCTGAGCATTTTCCGAATGCTTGATGCTGCCCTCGTGCTTGCCCAGATCGGAGCGCTTCGCGCTTAGGCGACACTCACAAATGGCGCAGAACACAAAATGCGGATCCGTTTCATCCAGTATAATCCACGGATATATGGATTGGTATTCGGGCTTTGTTTTCGGTCGCGGGTACTTCAGCAACGCGCACGGCCTGCGCGGTCTGTACTCCGATCGCAGAGCGTCGCTACGGAGGAATTGGCCCATTATATATACTCTGTATGTCAGTAAGAGATTAATTAAATGAATTACTTACAGTTTTTCCTGGGTTAATTGTAAATTTGACATTTATTTTTGCTTTCGACAAATATAAACAAAATGTGTTCAGTGTGACCGAATCTGCTGTGTTGAATACGACAAAAATACCAAATATAAAATACCAACTAATATACTAAGTGACGTTGGTGCAAGAAAACTAAATGATTGAAAAACTTGATTTATTTGTCTCCTCAATACACACAACCAATTTGTTTATTAACTTTAAATTTAGATAGCGACATTTATAAATCCGGCTAGAAGTTAAAGGGCTAAGTATTCATTTGTTGTTAGACGGAACTTCCACAATATATGGATATTTCTCCGTAGAACTTCTACTCAGGTCGCTTTTTATTTTATTACTAGGCGAACTTTTATTAGCTGTATCTTTGCTGTCAGATGCCCTATTTTCTTCGTCTTCGATAGGTTTTTGTATAGTTTTATCCGCTTTTTTAGTTAACATACGATCACTGCTGCTGTCATTTATCATTTCGATAACACATGGATAACTGCCTTCGGATTTGATGACCACTTTCTCTATTTCAGCTTGGTTATGGCACTGTACTGCGTCTCCATCTTTATCACAATCACATTCGCTTTGAAATATTATATATTATGTGTGCTTATAGTGTAATATTTTAGGTACTCGATATACGTACATATTGCTTTGATGATCCGGTACTTCCGTATCCTCATGGGAAGAGTTTACAACATTGACTTTATTCATATCACAGGCCCCAACGGTTGAGTTTAAATTTGAATGAATTGTGATTATCTAAAGCGATAAAAATGTTCATTTTTGTTTAGTTAAATTTCGACTGTGCTCTTACCCGCTCGTCTTTTGGCTCCTCTGTTTTCCGCATTCGGACCGGTAGGATCAGATCGACTATGAGGCCCACTGGAACGGGCTGGAGGCCCTGGATAATTACGTAACTTGCGTAGCATATTTTCACGAGACACATTTCTGGAACGCTCCAGCTGTTCATTGGTATTGCTCTTTTTTTGTGTTGAGGATTTGTTCTCCGTACTACGTCGGTTCTTATATGCCCTGTCGTCGGCCATATTTGACGGGCCGCTACGTCTCGATCTCTGATCATCGTTCGTTTGATTTGCGTGTCGATGAAGGTTGGTTTCAGTAACAGTACCTGGCCGGTACGCCCTATACTCGTTGGTTATCATCCTACGAAAGGCTTGAGCGTCACGATCATTAGCACGTCGCATATTCTTAAAATCTTCAATTTGACCAGTATATGGTCGTCGATGCGCTCGCAAATCAGAGCTGGAGCCCCTGTGGCCTATTGGCGTGGCAGCCCCAGATAGACCAGTTTTCTTCAGGTTTGACCCGAGATGATTGTTAATAGAATTTAAATACTGGCGTTTTTCCGGAGAGACTGCATGATCACCTTAAGGCCAAATTATAACAAAAGAAACACTAAAACATAAAATTTGCATAAACCTGTTGCATCGTCGTCATAGTTTGAGAATGGTGGAAATAGGGCAGATGTCCGAGCATCACGGCTAGTTTGACCGGTTGTTGGGTAATAGGGCGGAGGAAAGTTCGAAACCGCGGCATCCGCTTTGGGCCCATAGGGCGGACCGTATCCAGCGCCGTAAGTTGCGGGACATTTGTTACGTCTCGACAAATTTTCGTCAAGTTCGGGAAAGAAGGACTCCCACTGTTTGGTGAGTGAGTTAGATGATCTTTGTTTTCACTATCCAATATTCGATATATTGCTTACCATATAGAAGATAGCAAATGCTATCAGACATGCAATCAAAAGCACAGCAGTGAATTTTGTAAACTGCAGCATCAGGAAAAAAAATACAGCTATAATAACCTCAATATGATAGAGACCAATGAATTCCAGCGACTGGCGTATTTCCACAACTCTTAATGTTTGTAGATAGTCGATAACGGTATTGGCCAAATCGCAGCTCAGCTGCATAGCCTGAGCCATTCTGTATGAGAATTGATTGAGGAAACTAATTTACGTGTTGATGGGGTGAAAACATTTTTCTCAATTTAACGGAATACAATATTCCGAGTTGAACGTTTTTCAAAAGAAAATTTTTTTGAAAACTATAAAATACCAAAAATCAAAGGCCGAATAAATAAAATACTAGATTCAAAATACTAACCACAGGGCCAACTATCGCCTATTATCGAGCGATTGTCAAACTTATCGATAAATTGGCAACAGATGTTTTTGGAAAAAATTGCAAGAATTCCGTCAACAACTTAAACAAATTTAATAAAGCTTAGAATCATAGTTAAATGATACGCCGCACAATGGCCGATTTTGACATAAATGCCGGCCTACAGCACGTATTGAAGCGCATCGAGTTGGCGTTACAAAGTCGTCCCAAGGTAAGCATCTATAACATCTGCCATAATGCCATAGTGTGTTATCTGTTGCTATAAAACGTTGCTGTCTTATCAGGAAATCAACGCACCCAAACCCCTGCTGGTGGCCGTCAGTAAGACAAAGCCAGTGGAGTGTGTAATAGAAGCATATAAAGCCGGCCAGCGTCACTTTGGTGAAAACTATGTGCAGGAGCTGGTGGAGAAGAGTCAGCATCCGGACATATTAGCACAGTGTCCCGACATCAAATGGCATTTGATTGGACATCTGCAGAGTAACAAAATCAACCACGTGCTTAAGTTGTCCCCAACATGTCAGGATCATAAATATTGAATAAATCGTGTCTTACAGGTGCTTAAGCTACCCAATCTGCACATGGTTCAAACGGTTGACAGCGAGAAACTGGCCAACAAGATAGATGCCGCCTGGGCGAAGCTGCAGCCCACGCCAAGTGAACCACTGCGTGTGCTCGTGCAGATCAACACCAGTGGAGAAGATGGTAAACGTTTTAGATCAAAACCAAGACGCATACACCATATACTCTTGCCTTATCCGTACAGTTAAGAGCGGTATTGACGCCAGCGCTGCACCCTCACTATTTAAATACATCAGCGCCAATCTGAAGCATCTACAGCCTGTGGGCATTATGACAATTGGCGCCTATGGATTCGATTATAGCAACGGTCCCAATCCGGACTTTGTGGCACTTATGCAGGCGCATCGCGCCATTTGTGCGGCCAACGATTTGCCACCCGACGCGTTGCAGGTCTCAATGGGTATGTCCAACGACTATGACAAAGCGGTACGTAGTACACCAACAGCTGCTTTGGACTAGCTATATTCATGTTGTTTTGCCTGCAGATCGAAATGGGCAGCACTATAGTGCGCGTTGGCACAGCTATTTTTGGACATCGGGCCGCAAAAGCATGAGCCCAAGGCAATCGAGTGAATTGCTAGAGGAATGTGCCACATAGCGTTCGCGCCGTGGGATGTTTCTCTATGTATAATTCTAGCACAAGTTGTAGTGCCTACGATTAATACAGTTGCTTCTCAATGACGTCCGTAGCTAAGAATTGTTATTGGAAAAGCGCCCGTGTGCACAAAAACAAATGAAAATCTTCCAAGTTCGTTTATGTACCATATATTGATATACATGCCCATACATGTTTCTCTGTGTACATATATACCCATACATAAATGTAAAAATGTATGCATATGAAATTGATTTGGCTTGTATATTTAGAATATCTTTAGATAAACAAATGTTATGCGTAGGTTGTGGTTTTCCTGTTACCTTTGTGATGCTTCGAATGCTATATAGCTGTAATATTCCATATTAGTTTTATTAATGCCATACTTCCAAATGTAAAATCAATGTTGTTTGCCTGTTAAATATGATATTCATTTTTTGCTTATGAATACGTCCGAATTTCCTCGATAAACAGAATACTTGGTGCGATGAATTTCATTATTCCTTTCGGCATCTCTTGAATTTCTTGCACTATTCTGCATTATTTTTAATTTGGCGTTCACGTAAAGCATTCATCTTGCAATTGTGGGATTTGTGTTTTTTATTTTGCTTGGCTTAAGGCCAACGGGTTGTCTGGTTACATGCCAAATTTCAAAACGCTTTGAAATTTCGTTAAAAATTACTTTCGAAAAAGCTAAAAAAAAAAATAAATTTTCATTTTCAATTACGTCTACGTGATGATTTATCAATGCATTTTTAGGCCGACAACTTAAGGGCAAAGTCTTGCGTATTCAGACTTTCGTTGGTTTTGAATTATGTGTTTGGGAATTCGATATTCAGAATATAGATATGGCAAATTAAATCCTTATGCATTATCTTTTTTAATTTTCTATTACTGCGACATATGAAACGTATATGAGATGAGACGTGGGAAGTATGTATTGTAGTAAAGTAGTATGTAAAAAATGCACGTATATCACAAAATTTGTATCACAGAATTGATTTTTTAAATATGATTAAAACAGGCTTAATATGAAAGCAGTAAAAAGAAAATATATTTGTTTGATCTGACTGACTGACTTATTGGCGATCAACGCACAGCCCAAATTGCAAGAGCTAGGAAGTTAAAATTTTCGCCGAAGTTTCCTAAGGCGATGTAACTACACTCTCAGACGGGGCTTTAGGAAATTCCAGCCGCAGCTGTGGAAAATAGGTGAAAATTATTGTGAGCAATTTATTTTTGTCATTCGATCGGCTTCAAACTCATTTACAAACAATCCACTAGAGACATGATTCCCCATGTTTTGGGAAATTTACCCCCTAGGTCAATTTTCAGGATTCAATCAATATCAAGTATCAGCTAAACTAATTTCTTAATTTTTTTTTTTAAATATGTTTACCACATATTTGCATATCACATATCAAAATGATTAGAGTTGGTTAAACATTATTTTCAAAATATTTGCGGCGAAATTAATAAATATCGAAAATCTGTGACCCAAATCAAAATCGAAAAAAAAATAAGAGGTTTCCAATCATTGTGAAACCTGCAAAGGTTTATAATTATTTAAATATAATGCCAAAACTCAGATGAAAGTAGGATCAAGATTGAAAAACGTAAAAATGTATAGATTAAATATCATATTGAATTGCATTTTCATTCATTCCAAAAGATGTTCCAAATTCACTCGATATTGTTATCAAGCATACATTTAAATAGAATTGAATATGAAATATATATAACATATGCAAAGTTCATTTAACTTTATGATAGGTAAAACAATCCATATTTCTTATGGTTATGCAATGTACATGGAAAACTTAAATAAGAGATGAACAAAGTTTATTCTACTATGTCTTTGTTATGTATGCGACACAAAATCTATAGCTTTGGAATTCTCTGCTCTTTCTCTTTATATTGCACAATATGCAAACATTTTTAAAACAGAAAATGCCAGTCGTTGAAAATAGGCAAGGTAAAATACGAACGACGTCTATATAGCCGACTTTATACTATATGCTACACACATAGTCGAGCAGGCCACATAGGTATTTGTGTATGTATACAGATACATGTATATACATATTTATGGCCAAGGGAAATGTAGGTGATTTTCAGAGCAAGAGGACACCTTCGAAAATGCCTCCAAGAGCAAAGATGAATAATACAAAACAAGTTTTTGAATGCTATGGACACGAAAATGTATATGGCAGACGCATAAAGCACTAGAATCTGTTCATAATACGCCAAAATAAATTTCAACATTTACCAAACTGATGTACATACCGATGTATATAGCTATTGTATGTGCATATGTATGTATATAGAACTATGCATATACGCATTTTCTGAGGCGTACAACCATTTGCTCTGGCCGTTAAAATTAGATTCTGATTAGAGGCGCATACGATGAGTAAACATTTCAGCCCACCGAGCTGCGTGGACCATGGGGCACCACCCGCTGCCCACCGTGCGCCTGGGCGGACCTCGCCTTGCAGATACTAAAAAAGGCAGCACGAATCGGGCAGACACAGATACAGATACAACGAAACGAAAAAGCTGCCCGAAATGCCGAATGCCGAATGCCGACTGGGTAGTCGGGTCTGGGTTCGGGTTCGGGTTATGAAGAAGAAACGGCTGAAAAAGATCTTAAAACATCATTGTCTTGACGATAAAATCAGCCATTGATTCAGTGTGCTCTGACCGCTCGACTCGATTAGACAACACATCAAAGTTCAGCACCATGGTAAGGAGACACGGGATATACTATAGTACCAGATCTAATGGACCGCTATAAAGGACTCGCGTACTATATATATATACATATATCTATCTATATATATATTTATGTATACATTTGTTGTGCAGTGAATTTGTTGCATTCGAAAGTTATTCAATCGAAACTGAAATGAATTATTGAAATATTGTTATTAAAGTAAATATAAAGATCAAGTGAATATCGTTAAATGACCTCAATGACTCACCTCTATGTGGATTATTGTGCCAGTTGCCAGTTGTGCCTGGATATATATATATATGTATATGCATATCTAGTTCGATAATGGAACAGTTGAAGCGAAAACTATTTTGAAATCCAAATGGTGTGAAAAAGTTTCTTTCATTTCGAAATATTCTTTATACACACGCGTGAAATTCTATAAATGGATCGGTCGGAACGTAATATGATAGCTAGAGCGAGACGTATATAGCTTTCGCTGTATCTTACGTAATACGCGTCGGGTATTTTTAGCCATATATTGGGAAATTTTCTTTCGAAATATTTTCGAAATTTACAAAGGAAATTGACCAAATGAACCAAATGAACCCCAACTATGATTGAAATATTAATGAAATATATTTTCTCTACTTCCAATTCCAAAACTCTAGGCGGATGAGAAGAAGAAGGTTAAGAAGAAGAAGACCAAGGAAGAGGGTGGTACTTCCGAAACCGCTTCTGAGGCAGTGTCCGAGGCAGCAACCCCCGCACCAGCTGCTACTCCTGCCCCAGCTTCTGCTACTGGTTCGAAGAGAGCGTCGGGCGGCTCGCGTGGCTCCAAGAAATCGAAGCGCGCCGGCTCCTCGGTGTTCTCTGTCTTCTCCCAGAAGCAGATTGCCGAATTCAAGGAAGTAAGTTTTGTCAAATAGCAATCCAAACCCAAAGTTCCCTTGGCTGTGCCTGAGCCTGTACCTGTGCCTGTGCCTGTGCCTGTCACCTGTGCCTATACCATGTCATGTCGCATCCATGACCATCAAATCACAACAAGACCAAATCACCAACCACCTCTCTCTCTCTCTTTCTCTCTCTCTCACTCTCTCTTTCTGCGCGCGTGAATCAGGCCTTCCAACTTATGGATGCCGACAAGGACGGTATTATTGGCAAGAACGATTTGCGCGCTGCCTTCGATTCCGTCGGCAAGATCGCCAACGACAAGGAGTTGGACGCCATGCTGGGCGAAGCCTCCGGTCCAATTAACTTCACCCAATTGCTGACCCTGTTCGCCAACCGTATGGCCACCTCTGGTGCCAACGATGAAGACGATGTTGTTATTGCTGCCTTCAAAACATTCGATAACGATGGTCTCATCGATGGTGATAAATTCCGCGAAATGCTCATGGGCTTCGGTGAGAAATTCACCATGAAGGAGGTCGATGATGCCTTCGATCAGATGGTCATTGATGATAAGAACCAAATCGATACCGGCGCCCTGATTGAAATGCTAACCGGCAAGGGTGATGAGGAGGAAGAGGAAGCCGCCTAAGCAGCAGCTGGCCCCGTACACATCCTAACTCTAACTCAGCATCCATATTACAACCAACAACAACAACAACAAAAAAAAAACAAAACTTAAAAACTTTTAAAATCGTCTAAAAAAAATAATAAACGTAATTAAAAGAAATGCTCGTTTTACATATGTAAATTTTAAATATTTATATAATCTCTTTTTGTTAACCAACACCACCACCAACAAGAACAACAACAACAACACAATTATTACTCTTAACTTCTTCAACAAACAATTTGGTATGAACTAAGAACATTTAACCATGTACCAAGTTCCACGTATCATTTTAGGGATACTTTAAATCCAAATGTCGAAGCGCCATCTTGACAGCTAGTTTTCTAGTTGATTTATTATTAAATTTTACACGTAAAATTTATAAATAACTGAAAGTCTATTTTATTTCAAAAAACACACTAAGAAAATACTTTTAAAAAAAATGAAGAAAAAAAAACAAAGAAATTCACATGTTTATTTTTTAATTGCTGTTCGTTGAAGAATCACAGAGAAAGTTACAAAAAAAGATGAGCAAGCGCCGTGGGTAGCTTATGATATAGATATATACATATGTATATATATATATCATCTATATCTATACTAAAAATATATACAGAAATAGGTAGGCCTTGGCCCACATTTGTTAGTTAATCATTTTACAGGTTAAGGAGAGAGAGACATATACAATTCGTTATCGTTAGGTTACTTTCATCTGAGAGCCAAATATTCTATATAACTAAACTATATTAAATTATGCATATATCTCAATCGTTCGTTTAACAATATTTCAATATTTATCAATATCTATAAATATATATTATCAAAATATATCAAATTACAAAAGTTATTGAGAGTTAGCTTAATGAAAAGAACAAAACATTTAAAAAGTTCATTCACTCAAATTGTTTTTTTTTTTGTGCCAATTTATATAACTTACCCGAATGAAAAAAAAAAACTAAGAAGAATATTCACAAACTTTCTGCTTATGAACTACTTACTATCAAGAAAAAAAGTGTTTCAAGTTTATGCGTTCAACAAAAGTATCGAAAAGTTATTAAAATGCAAAAGTTAATATTTATTTTTGATGAGTTCACGTTTATGTGTTTTCTAAACAAACGGAGATGGCGCTATGCCTTTTTGCATAGATCTAAATATTAATATACCCATATATATATTCTATATGTACATATGATACCACATCAGTGTGTACTTAATGGGCGTGCTCGAGTTCGAATTCGATACGATACCCTTGTACAATGCATATGGCGCATAGCATGGCGACTATCGTCTATATGTCGAATCTTTTTCGAGAGCAAAAAACTATCCCCCCTAGCTAGGACAGAGGCAACTGAGGCAATGGGCGTTCGACTCATTGCCGGGTGCATCAGTACCAGAGAAGTGGAAAGGAAATAGGCAAAAGAAATATTAGAAGAAAAACATATCTAGTAGTTTTGACTTAAACAATACACAATCATTAATACTAAGGCTATATTCAAGCAAAAGCAGTAGCATCACTTCACCCAAATTACTTACTAAAGGAAATTACAAACACAATAACTAATACAACAAACACAATCTATAACTAAACCAATTCAATTCAATATGCAACGAGTTGTTAAGTGCGAAAATCTTTACTTCAGTATAAATTAAGTTACATGGCAAAAAATAAAATATAAAAAAAAATATAAATAAAATAATAATAATTACATTTTTAACCCGGTCAGAAATATTACCAAAAAAAGAACTGTTTTTATATAACAATGATGATGATGATGATGATGACTTTAATAGAATAAATCAAAAGCGAGTCGTCTAAAAAAGAAAAACTACGTTGTTTCATTTTCGTTTGGGTGGGAACTACTTTTCAGTGGCAAAAGAAGGTAGTTGAGCAGAGAAAACCCTTTGCTTTAAAAGTTAAACAGCTTAGAATGAAATAGAATTTGGAACTAATGATAGCCAAGCTTATTGAATAAGTATTTCTGAATAATTTATGAAAGGATACCAGCTTGAAGCTTTAACTTGAGCCATTTGCTTAATATTTTTGTTAATTCGAAGAAAAAGAAAAAAGCCAGAATTCCCGCTGTTGACAGTTTTTCGTTTCAAAATTGCGCCATTTGACGAACTAAAGTAAGAAAAGCTGGCAGCACTGGCTGGCATAAAAGTAGTATAAGAACTGCATCGGCTAACT